TGACCACCCCTGGCTCTACCATTGAGCACCCCTGGCTCTACCATTGACCACCCCTGGCCCAACCATTGACCACCCCATGCTCCACCATTGACCACCCCTGGCTAAACCATTAACCACCCCACTGGCTCCACCATTGACTACCCCTGGCTCCACCATTGACCACCCCTGGTCACACCATTGTCCACCCCCTTGCTCTACCATTGACCACCCCCACCATTGACCACCCCCTGGCTCTACCATTGACCACCCCCACCATTAACCACCCCCTGGCTCTACAATCGACTACCCCTGGCTTCACCATTGATCACCCCTACCTCCACCATTGTCCCACCCCTGGCTCCACCATTGACCACCCCGGCTTTACCGTTGATCACTCTGGGCTTTTCCATTGGCCACTCCAGGCTTTTCCTTTGACCACATCTGGCCCAACCATTGTCCCACCCATGGCTCCATCATTGACCACCCCCTGTCCCCACCATTGTCCACCCCTGGCCCCACCATTGACCACTCTACCATTTTCCACACCTGGCTTCACCATTGTCCCACCCCTGGCTCTACCATTGACCACCCCTGGCTCCACCATTGACTACCCCCTGGCCCCACCATTGACCACCCCTGGCTCTACCATTGATCACCCACTGGCCCCACCATTGACCACCCCTGGCTCCACCATTGACCACCTCTGGCTCCACCAATGACCACCCCTGGCTCTACCATTGACCACCCCTGGCTCCACCATTGACCACCCTTGGCTCTACCATTGACCACCCTTGACTCCACCATTGTCCCATCCCTGGCTCCACCATTGTCCCACCCCTGGCTTTACCATTTACCACCCCTGGCTCCATCTTTGCTCCACCATGGCACCTGGTGGTGGATAAAATCGCTCCCTTTGTTTGCCAGGATCCGCCACTCTGCACAGCCTTAGACAAGAAAATAAAACCTAGCTTTCTTCTTCACCACAGTGTAACTCTTATTCACTTGAGTATCTTGCACCAAAAACATTAGTTTGCTTGCATTCTGTTCAATTTCATTTCAGAAAAATACTCATCTCAAAAATGTCATAGTCTGTGTTTATTTATTTTGGTAATTTAATAGTTTATCTTAGTTTTATTTCTCCTAGTGGCTTATGTTTTTTTTTTATCATTTGTGTTTTGGTTCAGCCCAGTTTGTTTCCTTGCCAGTAATCATTTTCACCTTGAGTCAGCTTCAACAGTTATTCAGTCAGACCTGATCTCATGATGCATCACCCAGGTGCTGTCACCTGTAACTCATTACCACCCATTCTATCCTTTCCTGATCCCCACCCCAACAGCAGTCCATTGTCATTGCTACCTGTCTCGGTCCTCCCTCTTGTGCTCCCTGTGTTTTTGTATGTTTTTCCTGCCACATCAGCCTTTTGCTTTATTTTACTCAAGCTCCTCGTGTCTGCCTGCATCTGGGTCCAATCCACCTACTGGCAGCAATAGAAAACTACAAACATTCACTATTCAAATCCTTCAGTAACAAGGCAATCAGCATAATCCCCCCCCCCCCCCCCCAAAAAAAAAAGCACATAGAAAGAACTGATAATTTCATCATACTCAACCATCTCATCTCAAAAAGCTTTGGACAAAAGCAACTACAGTGTGTAAATGTAAGTGGCATACAAAAGAAACAGCTGCAGGAGAAGTTTGCAATTAATTAGGTTATCTGGCAACACGTCAGTAAGAGGACTGGACATAAAACACGACCACTCTCTAAGACACAAAACATGTCTTCTGTATAAAACAAAACATGTCTTATGTCTTGATTCTCTAAGACATAAAACAAGCTGATTCTCTAAGATGGACAGAGGTTCACCTGTCTTTGAAAAAATAATTTTATTCAATGAAAGTTTGGGAATACTTTGAATACCCTGTCATCTACAGTTCATAAACTCATTTAAAAAAATTATGAATATGAAATAATCTTCATGTGCAAAGGACCAGGCAGAAAGTCATGCCCATGATCTTTGGGCCTTCCGGCAGCACAGCATTAAAACAGTCTGATTCTGTTCCACAAACCACAGTTCACACTGTTCACTGTGTCATTCACAAACACTGCTTAGTCTTTCATGTGAAGAAGCCAGATGGGAGCACCATCCTGAAACATCTAAAGCTCATTCAGATTAGACTGAAAACTGTGTGGAAAACTGTTCTGTGGTTACATCAAAGTTCTTGCTCAATATTCCAAGTATAAAATCTAACAATGTCAGTCAGGTCATCTGGACGGTTTCTTTTTTGCGCTGAGACATTTCATCCATCATCCAATGGACTTCTTCAGTCTGAGGAACCACCAGAAAAAACTGATTCTCCACCAACAGCATACTCCAGAGTGGAAAAAAAAACAGTTTGCTGGTGCTAAGATGGCCTCGGGGGCACACCCTCTCCTCCGGGGTCTGCCCTTCCTCATCAACTCCTCTAAGACAGTCATGTGAAAGTGGTTCAAAACACCAAAGTTCATGCTCGGTAATCCAGGTATAAAATCCAACAATGTTCAGTCAGGACATCTGGACGGTTTCTTTTTTGCGCTGAGAAATTTTGTCCATCATCCAAAGGACTTCTTCAAACTGAGGAACCACCAAACAAAATTGATACTCCACCAACAACATACATGGTTAAACATATTAATCACAGATTTTTTTTAATTGTTGTTATTTTTATGAACCATGGTCTCCAAACTAAAGAGGGGATTAACTAGACAGCTTGATATCAGTGCACAGTTCCATAGCCAGTCTTCTGACAGTATTACAGACGATGGTATGGGCAGCTTACACATCTGGAAAAGCATCATCACTACAGAAAAATAGAGCTACTTTTCAAGGAAGACCTTGCACATTTTAGCCAGTGGTGGAGAAAGTACTCAAACACTGTACTTAAGTAAAAGTACAAATAAACAGACAAAAATGTACTCTAGTAAAAGTAGAAGTACCACATTAACATTTTACTTAAGTAAAAGTAAATAAGTACTTGCTTTTAAAAATATTTAAAGTATTAAAGTAAAAAAAAACTTGTTGAATGTATTACCTAATGCAATGGTCTACATATCTTTAAGTCTGCGTACCATGTGTATATTTTCTGTAATACATTAATAGTGTTGTTCCATTTTAATGAACAATGCTGCAGATAATACATGTTTTTATTGTGTTTACTCTGTGACACAGTTCACGCTTGGACTTGTGATTCTGTGTCAGAATTTCAGGGATGACATGCAGAGTTAAATGCCATTAATCAAAATAAGAAAGAGGGATGATTATACTTTTAAAAGTTTTTATTTAACACAAAGCAAAACCAACGTGTCAATTTAACTGCAGTAAACACGTTGAAGTAAAAGTTGTCTGCCTGAACAAAAGGATCATTAGACACAACTAACAAAGGAATCTGATCATTTCAACTCCAGTTTGTCATCAACTCCAGTTAAAATACTGTCTATTCAACCTTGTAATGGATCAATATTGAACAATATTTTAACTTCCTGACACCATTTTCAAAACTTGGACCTGAGTGTTGAGACATTTGGAGACATCTCTTGTCTCCTAACATCATGAACTGACACATTTTAATATTGCAGCAAGAATTTCTTGTTCAAGTTCAGAAGAAGTTGGTTTTCAAAGATTTTTGAGTCCAGTCTGGCTCTTTTGGGAGAGAGAATCTGTCCTGCTGTACTGAGCAGTCTTTCAATAAGGCCATGGGTGGAGCATATCTTCTGACTGACTCTACGAGGTGTAAACCATTTTGGGTGTGTTAGTGGTGCTGTGGATGCACCCAGCTCAATGACGTATATACTAGAACATATGTCATTGGTCCAGCTCTTCTTGAAGGTGGGTCTAACGTTACCTGCCCACTTTGCAGTGATTTAATGGACCAACTCCCCTCTCACCATTAATTACTTTCAAACTAACTAACAAACAAATCAAAAAAACTTAACAAGAATGTACCTTGTGACGCAACGCAATATAGAAATGTAGTGTAGTAGAAAGTACAGATACTTAATGTAAAATGTAGTGGAGTAAAAGTAGAAAGTACCCACGGTTAACTCTACTTAAGTAAAGTACTGATACAAGAAAAATGTATTTAAGTACAGTAACAAAGTACTTGTACTTAGTTACATCCCACCACTGATTGTAGCAAGCCACAGACTAAATCACATATTTTACAACAACCCCAGCCAGTCAAAGCAGATGGCCGCTCATCCTGAACCTGGTTCTGATGGAGGTTTCTTCCTGTTAAAGGGAGGTTTCCTTTCCACTGCCTCCTTTGTGCTGGCTCAGGATGGGCGACTGTGACGAAGTGAAGATTCAACACAATCTGCAGCTTCCTAGATAGAGAACTTTTACTAATTGCCTTTTTTTTTGTATGTGAATGCTTTTGTTCAGTGCTCTGAAATAACTGCTGTTGGGACTTGGCGCTGTAGAAATAAAGTGAATTGAACAGCAGGGGCTTTGTAGCAGAAAGGTCTTGGTCCTAAACTGGCCTGCCTGCAGTCCAGACCTCTCCCATATGAAAGTGTTTTGTGCATCATGAAGTGAAAATTTTTAGAAAAGTCTGTCTAGAATCTTGCATCCAGCAAGAAAGGGACAACATTCACATTCAAAAACTCCAGCTACTGATCCCCTCACCTGCTGTTTACACAGTGTTGTTTAAAAAGAAGGGCTGCTTCACTGTGACAAACATGACTGTAGAGGCCAAGCCAATGCTTTAAGCCACTGAGGTGATACACTGCAGGTAGTGTTGACATGCTGATTGTTACCTTGTCAGATGAATTAAAGTCAGAGCCGCCCTTGCTCGTTTTGCAGGTCATCCATTTATTCTTTACATTTCCTCTGTGTCCATTTGAAGCCAGTACATATTTCCACAACACTTGCATCTGTTGACAGCATCTAGTTTCTTTCACATTCAGCTGTCAAAAACTGTTCCCCCCTTGTGGGTGGAACACCTGCCCTCACAAAAAAGGTTCCTAATATGTAGACTGCTGATTACTCACATGACCTAATACCCATTCACAAATATATTCATTTATCACCTGCTCCTACAATGACCCTGACCCATGTTGGTGTTTAAAATGTCACAATTATCTTTCTTTGTTCCTAAAAATTGTACAATGTCTTAATTTAAGCATTCAGTGTTTTCAGTGGATTGTGAATTGAAAAAAAAGTTTCACAAATTTAGCAATTAATTGCCTTCTCTTTTATTTAAATTTCACACAGTATCCAAATGCACCCCATCTTTTAAGGTCTTGGTTGTTCTTTATGATCCAAACACTCAAAGTCCTAGTGGTTTCTTTTTAATTATTAATTGGTAAATCATTTTCAATTTCAAAAGTTGCAGAGAAAAAATGATGGCCCAAGATTAAGGAGAAAAAGAATCAGTGAATGAAAGTATATTAAATTTCATGGGACAATGACTGCAATTTTAAAAATGATTAATTCTTTGCCACTGAAGACAGTTGTGGTCAGACGTTCAGGCTCCAGCACAGACTCTTTGCTCCCCACCTCTTCTCTCTCAGGCCTCCGGGTTCAGAACACCAGGTCCTGCGTCCGTGGATTGTGGTGAATCTGGTGGTGGCGCTGTTGGTTGGTGTGGCGTGGGCCGTTGTTTCCACGAGGCCAGACATCGACTACACAGAAGGTGGGCCTGAATATCTGTCAGTTAACTATTCTTGTAAAGAAACTGTGAAGTTTAGTCAAAGAACAAAGATTCATTGTTGTTTCCCCATTTTATACAAGTTAAAATAACAATATGTTTCTAAAACATTCACATTTCCACATGCAATGCATCCAGTTTTGGCTCCAAACATGTCAGTCACATTAATGCTGGTGACTTTTATAAAACCACTAGATGGCACCAAAGACATAAGCAAGATCAAGAGGTTTACAGAAAGATTTGTGGGGTGTCTCTTTATTCCTAGAGTTTTTAATGACAATGGAGGTGGAGGGATACCCGAGAGGAGAGGATAACCTGGACATTCCTGCCTAAAACCACATTCTCCAGTCACTTCCTGACTTCAAACCAGACCTCATGTTCATTTATGTGCAAGTATTAATACATGTGTATTTATTTTGATGTGTGTGGTTTTATATATAAATAAAGAACTATGTACGTACACAGCAGCAGTTGTTCTGCGTTTTGAATCATTGACTTAATAACAATTTTTAAACATATATATCATTAACATTATATCTTGCTACTTTTCATTAGATGTTGTGATATTTTTGTTAAGCACTTTGGTAACAGTTTCTGTTTTAAATGTGCTCTATAAATAAATCTGACTTGACTTGACATACATTTTATTGGCGAATGAATCTCTGCAGTATTGTTGTACTTCTACTTTTTGCAGCTCTGTTTAGAAAAAATCCAAACTCCAATCAGAGTGCACAATGTAACAAATTAAAATCCCTTTTAATAATTGCATGGAAGATTGTCATATTATTATTATAATTATAAATCCATTCAGTGACTAATCATCTCTAAAAATAATATAACAAATATTTATCATTTGTAAAAGAAAATGTGTTGCAATAACATGGTCCTAACAGTTTTTCATGTCCTAACTGTTGAGATTTCAGCTAGTTTTGTTTAATCGTAGTTAGTAAAACTCAGCTATTTATTTTATTTTTGTATATTTCCACACGTTCACTTTGTGTTTCTATAATATTGAGTATTGTTTGTAGTTTCTTTGCACTTCTGCATGCTTTTTATTTCTCCTCAGTTTTATGCTTTTGTGTTGTGTATGTTTTTATTTGTTGATATTTTCTTGTTGCTGCCAGAGTTTTAATGAGAGTTGGTACTTCCTCAGGTGGCTGAGACGAGCTGGTCTGGGAAGCTCAGTCCTCACCTCCTTCTACAGGTGTGCAGTGGAGAGCATCCTGTGCTCGAGCATCAACGTGTGGCATGGAGGCTGCACAGCTGCAGAAAGAAAAGCTTTGCAGAGAGTGGTGAAGGCTGCACAGAAGATGTTGGAGTCAGCCTCCTCACCATCACAGACATCTATACCTCCAGATGCAGGAAGAGGGCCACCTGCATCATGAAGGACCACACTCACCCAGCACACACACTTTTTGCCCCACTCCCCTCAGGAAGGAGGTTGAGGAGCATTAAGTGTAGAACCACTAGACTGAGGAACAGCTTCTACCCTGAGGCTGTTAGGCTCATGAATCTCTAACTGGAATAATCACTGTGAAAAATTGCATCATGTTGCTGCTGATCTGTCTCATGTTGCTGCTGATCTGTTTCATGTTGCTGCTGATCTGTTTCATGTTGCTGCTGATCTGTTTCATGTTGATGTGTTCATGCGTGCTCATCTGTTCATACAGACTCATGTTCATGTCTGTGCTGATGTTCAACGTAATGTTTTTATGTTATGAGTGCTTAGTGTATATTTAGTTGATGTTTTTCTTAGTTCATATCTTAGATGTTATTACTGTTTTTTTAATTTACATTTTATTGTTGGATGTAACTGGGACCCTGTGTACATAATTTCGCTCCACCACATGTACCACATGAGATGCGAATGACAAATAAATCTCTCTGACTGTATGAGAGATCGTATCGCTCCAGTTTTAGCTTCTGTCCATTGGCTCCCTGTCAAATCCAGAATAGAATTGAAAATCTTGCTCTCTCTTGTGGAACCAACTTCCAGTTTCTGTCCATGAGGTTGCCACAATTTAGGGATGCACGATCCACATTTTTTTTACTTCCGATCCGATCCTGATACCTAAATCTGGATATCGGCCAATACCGATCCAGTTCCAATATCATGATCATTATTGATTTTATACGAGGCTGTAATAATCTGCTCTCAAGTACAATTTGTACAAATATATGCATGCATGTCCAAAAAGGCAACTTGAGGTAAGTTTTATTAATGTTGGATAAGTTTTAAAGTTAGAATTAAATCTTGTTTTTTATTCCTAGTTTTAAAGAGGATATTAAAGAGATTAAATGGTTTCAAACATCTGCTAAGTTCATGTCATAAACCAACAGACATGTTCCTGTTTTTACATCGTTTTAAATGTAGCTGTTTTTGTTTCATTTTGTTTTTATAATTTTCTTTTATTTTTCAATTCATGCTTTTTTATGATTGTCTAATGTTGTACTGATAAATCTCTCCTGGAGGGTAAACATAAACTATATCTTGGCTGCAAGTATTCAATCAAGCTGTGAAGCAGACAGTCTGGTTCAGTCAGCCACGTTCAGTCTGCTCCAGACAGACAGGCTGAAATCGTTGGTTATGTACTGTAACCCCAGATTCTATGAGTATAAGCGTAGTAGCCCTTTAAGGCTGTCGCTGATGGGTTATCCCGTTATGCGAAGCATTACACTGACTGATTATACTATTCGTTCTTCTGACAGTGCTATTAGCTCGCTGAAGAAAAATGGGAGCCGATTTCCCGCTCTTAACGTAATTTATACGGACCGGATGGGGCCCACACAGCAGGTGGGCGTGGACTAAATTTTTCAGTGTAATGCTTTGCATATTGGGATAAAACCCACTAAGCGACAGCCTTGAAGGGCGAAGCTTATACGAAATAGAACAGACTGTCTGCTTCGGACTGAACGAGAGGAACACACCGCTGAAGCCACGGAGCTCCAACGTCCAACGTAAAACTAACTTTACCGCGGTGCTCAGCTAAACAATCCTCGTGCTCTTTAATGTGGTGCTTTTTCAAATGTTTGTTAAGTTCCATGTGTTGTAGGTCGACCGAGCTTCCTCCTCTCTGTGCAGCAGCTCTGCAGACATTGCACGTTGCTGTCTTGTGGTGTTTAGTGTAGAATATTTCCACACAGCGGACATGTTATGATGAAAAGTTGGTTAGCTGTTAGCCACAGTGCTGCTGCTCAGTCCTCATGTTGTAGCTGCTGCAAATGATGAACTGGATTCCCTGAATGTGAGGCGGGGCTTATTACTCTGGGTTCATGAGACACGTCACCGTTCAGGAAATCCATTCCATAGTTTGAAGCCAACTTTCAGAGCAGCAGGCAGGGAATCACATGTGGAGACGTTTCAACAGACAAAGACACGTATCATGGATCAGAAATATCTGCAGGTTGGATTGGAAAAATTTCATGCGTAAATTATGCTGGTATCAGAGGACGATACTGGATCAGATCGGCCCCATCCCTAGTTTAAGGCTGGGCTTAAGACTTTCCTTTTTGATAAATTAGGGTTGGCTTGTGTTGTGTTATGCCGAACTGAAAATGAATTGTTATTGCATAAAAAGGACACCAGTGGGCGGTCTAAGACTGTATGTTTAAAATATGTAGTACAGAGTGACAGAAGAAACAAAAGTAAAAGTAAAAGGAGAACTGAAGCTGATTCACATGTCTGATTATTTTTCCTTAATTCAATCTTGCAATCAACAACAATAGTGAGGGGGATGTCTACTTCTGTGTCTTTACCTGCTCTATTTATGCCATGCCCAGTGGAACCAGCGATAGCATTTCCAACATGGCTAAAAGTGTTTGAAAACTACATGTTGGTGATCGCAGCGTTGGGGATGGCTGGCCTGCAAGTCTGGCCTGGATGCAAGAAAGCACACGGTTCTACTTCGTGCCCTGGGTACGGAGGGTCAGCAGCTTTCCTACACCCTGCCGAACACTGGAGACACGTTTGCTGCAGCTATTGCTGCTCTAAAAGAACATTTTGTGCCGAAGGTGAACGTCAATGCTGAACGTCACAAGTTTCGACAAAGGGCACAGAGACCGGATGAGGCGGGAAACCAGTTCTTAGCTTCTCTACGTGAGTTAGCTGCTGCGTGTGATTTTGGAAACATGGAGGAACAGATGCTACGTGATCAACTGATTGAGGCTGTTGCTAACACTCACACAAGAGACAGACTATTACTTGAACCGGACCTAACACTCATGGATGAACTGTTCTCAAATCAATGAGGGGCTACTGTTTTTTCTCCTATCACTTTAACATCCGCCTACCACCAACTGTCTCTGCATCCTGAAAGTTGTGATATGAGTGCGTTTATCACTCATGATGGACTTTTTCATTTCTGCAGAGTTCTGTTTGGTTTACTTTCTGCCCCATTTGCCTTTCAAAAAAGTTTTTCCTTTCCACTGTCGCCTTCATGCTTGCTCAAGATGAGAGTTCTGTGATGGAGTCTCAAAGCAGTCTGCTCCTCAGATAAATAGAGTCAGAGATTCTTTATTGTCATTCGCACCTCATGTGGTACATGTGGTGGAGCGAAATTATGTTCACAGGGTCCCAGTTACATCCAACAATAAAATGTAAAATAAAAACAGTAATAACATCCAAGATATGAACTAATAAAAACATCAACTAAATATACACTAAGCACTCGTAACATAAAAACATTACGTTGAACACAAAGTTTGTTTTCTCGGTCATCCAGGTATATAACAACAAAAAAGGTTGAATCATGTCATCTGGACTTCGTTTTTTTGTTAAAAAGAAACGTTTCGCCCCTCATCCAAGAGGCTTCGTCAGTCTGAGGCCTAGCCATCTGGTATTACCCAGAAGCCACCCTGACTCTTGTGTTTCAAGCCTGCCTCAGATACCCCTGAAGTCTGGCCTTTTCACTAACGGTTTCAAAAACACAAAGTTTGTTTTCTCAGTCATCCAGGTATACCTGGATGACAGACTGACGAAGCCTCTTGGATGAGGGGCAAAACGTTTCTTTTTAACAAAAAAACGAAGTCCAGATGACATTACGTTGAACAGCAGCACAAACATGAACATGAGTCTGTGTGAACAGATGAGCACGAATGAACATATCAACATGAAACAGATCAGCAGCAACATGAAACAGATCAGCAGCAACATGATGTGATTATTCTGGTTAAGATTCTTGAGTCTAACAGCCTCAGGGTAGAAGCTGTTCCTCAGTCTAGTGGTTCTACACTTAATGCTCCTCAACCTCCTTCCTGAGGAGAGCGGGACAAAAAGTGTGTGTGCTGGGTGAGTGGGGTCCTTCATGATGCAGGTAGCCCTCTTCCTGCATCTGGAGGTGTAGATGTCTGTGATGGTGGGGAGGCTGATTCCAACATCTTCTGTGCAGCCTTCACCACTCTCTGCAAAGCTTTTCTTTCTGCAGCTGTGCAGCCTCCATGCCACACGTTGACGCTGGA